GCATTCCTGTCAGCCTGCGCCTTTGAGCTTGGCCAGTTAATCTGGAGCTAGCACAAATATCACTAATGCTGTTCTGTGTTGTGCCATTTACACTTAAAACTGCTATTCTTAAAGCAAGTTTGAGTCTTTTTATTTTTTTTTAATATGATTGGGATCTTTGTAATGGCAGCTTTTGTAGGGGAGAGCGCAGGATAAGATGTATCATAGTACCTGCTGTTTTAAAGCTGCTTGCAAGAAAAATTACGGGAGAGGAATAAAAAGGAGTAACGCTCAAAACCAAGGCTGGAAAATCTCCTCCAAAATCCACTTCTAAGCTTCCATGATATGCAAACTGACTTGTCTTTCTGACCAAATTTTGAGCATTGATTCATCAGGAAAGTAGGAATGTTTAATAGACTATCGGTGTATTTGTTTGCAAAAACCCAATACTGTTTAAACCCATTTTTAAATAATATGCACCATAGGTGTCCAAATCTTTTGTCTTAAGTTAATTCAGTCAAGAGGCTTAAGACTAATCTTATTTTTCATCTTTCAAAGGATCTTTTCTTAATATAGTGGGAGGATGCTTTACTGGTTTTGGAGCTATTATACAATTGTAAACATGTTATCATCCAGCTTCCTGCTATTGTGAATGTTTGGACCGAGATAAAATAATTTGTTTTAAAGGAAGCTTCTTAAATACACAATAGGTTTTTTTTCTTCATCTGCCCTTGGCTTAATTTACAGTTTAGGCTTGGTGTAGGTGCCTTATATGTAAAAGGAAAAGTATAATTGTTATTTTCAGAAAGCTGGACTTTTTTAATCCATTCTTGATGGTGCGTGGCAGTCGTGAACATCAAATAAAGCCTCACACAGATAGATACAGGTTAGATGCTTATGTATAAATTCTATTTACATAGCTGCAGTTTGGTATAGATGTAAGTAAGCTGGAAAACCTGCTGGGAAAACTTTAACTAGACCTTCAGGATGTTGCAATTGTGTTCTTGCAATAAAGGTCAAAGATATGTCAGGACAGGGTTACTGGTGCATTCTTTGGAGCCCTGTATGACACGGGAGTCATGCTGACGTACTTGTAAGCATGTTTCCTACCTTTTGATGAGCGCACTGTTCCTATTTTCTGTAAGTTAAACATGAAACTTGTTAATTTTTAAGTAAGCCTCGCATCGTCTTTAACTTGTTTTCAAAATAAAACTCGGTAAGAAACGTTGTGCTCTGTGGTGTGTCCTTTAATGGAGACACCGGCAAATGAGGCTGCTGAAGGGGTGGCGGAGGGGGGCAGAAATAGATTTGTTCTTGTAGACAGGAGGTTTATATGATCATGCTGCATGCTTGTGTCCCTAATAACTTTTGAGCCTGCTGGATGCTGGAGGGAAATTTATTCCTGTCAGTAGTGTCCAAATAAGCGTGGGGAAGGAGGGACAAACTTGTGTGCACTGAGGGAAAGCTCCCAGCGTGTGCTCACGTCTTATTAAATGGCAGGCAGTTTGTATGGGAAGAAGACCTAAAACACCCTGAGCACAGGAAAAGCTCCCGTTGGAACTTTTGCCCTCTTAAAGTCAATGAAGCGTGGGACACAAATCCATGGAAAAAACTAGGAGCTGCTTGGGCTTTTTTCCTTTTTTATTTTTTAAATGAAAAAGAGTATAATAAACAAAGATAGCTATGCCATACTGAAGAAAATCACCTTTCTAGCCCAATGAATTCCAGAAAAGGGTTAGCGTAAAAATTATTTCATTGGACAATTATCTTTGCAAATATTTTTAAGCCTCTTTGTAAGAAAGAAAATTAATCCTAATGCTGAGACATCTTTGCCACTGAAGTAGCAAAATCAAAGACGTGCCGCTATCCTATGCCACCGTGTTTATTTGGTGGAGGGGGCCGTGTTGCTCGCTCATGGTCCCAAACATGCTCTGATGCTCAGTCGGTCTTTGCACGTGTAAGGCTATCGCAACCAGTCCATGTGTACGAGCTAGGCTTGCACAGCATGTAAAAAGCTCCAAGCCTTCCCTCCTTCTCCGGCTGAAGTCTTGCAGCTTTAGTAAAGAGCCACGGCGCAAGTTTTGGCATGAAGAAAATATTGAAGGCCTGCAAGACGCAAAATGCAAGAGTTTGGTTATCTGATGCAATATTGTCCTCTGGGTATGTGCTTTTGTTCGTATGAGTTGGGTGGGAGGATGGAAGTCTGACACATCTGTGTTGGCAGAAGCTTGTGGTTTAGAAATATTAGCAGAGCTGTACTCACTGACATTGCTGCTTCTAGTTGTAGGAGGGTATTTTACTATTGCGGAGGAAGCAATGTAGAAGAGCCTATAGCCCTGTTGCCGTACTATGAGTTTTTCTGGAATACTCTACACAAATATTTTCACCTAATTAGGGTATTTCACTGCCATGGCTTGGTAAAGAATGTCATCATCTTAGGCGCCATCTTAACAAAAAGAAAAAACCCAAGATCATGGGTTGGTTTGGTTCAGAGAAATGCCTTTGTTTACTATAGGCTATGGTTGCTAATTTTCCATTGGTTTTCAGGTTGTTGGTTAAGATTAATTTGATTCCTGAGAACTACTTCCAGTAGAGCGTACTCTGCTTCTTGTGGGCTTAGGGAGTCTGGGAAGAGGAGGCACAGGAAACATCCTCGCTGGGGAGACCGCCAGCAACAGGATGCTGCCCGTGCCGGAGCACGCTTTCTCATGCAGCAAGAGGAAGCAGAACCTGGGACTGAGCAGGACAGGAAGGGAGGGATCGCAACGGGAAGGGTCATTAACGTAGCTGTGTAATTGCAAGCAACAAGAGGGTTGTGGTTGGTTTGTTTGTTGACCTTTATTTCATTACCAGTTGGCAGTACCAACCGAAACGAACTGTCCTGCAGAGGTGACGTGTCTGGGGTTAGACATGCTTCACCTGCTGGGGAGGGACAAAGGACATGGGGTGAGGCAGCTGTGCATGCAAAGCCACGTTTTATACTCATGTCCACAAACCTTCCATAAGCAAGGAAAGCTGTACCGGGAATGATTACTTTTTTCTGATGTAATTACACTTACACTAGGGCTTCATCTGATAAATTGCATCGGTCAGGGATTTTATTTTTTAGTACTCTGGTCCTCAATGCTAGCACAAATCTATAAAATAGACACGACTCCGACAGCCATTTTCACTTGCAGAGAACCTGCAATGTATAAAGTCCTTATACAGTTACAAGTATTTACAATTTTTCTGTAAATAGGTGAATACAATTAACTGAGTAAAAATAGAAAAAAGTGACAAGTCTGAAAACTTTGATCAATACAAAACCTCTCTAAACTAATCTCAAAGGGAGAGAACTAGAAATATCCATGTAACAGCCTGGGTTGAGGTTTTGCATACAGGCATCATATACCTGCTCCATCCAGCAGCAATAGTCATAGTGTCCTTTCAGATCCCGCTACCAATTTGGTCAAGCACTTTGAGAAAGATTCCTCCCTTAAACTCATCGCTGCAGTATCTGAGACTCCAGCAGTGCACTACGTAATGCAAGTCACAGGTGTGTATAAATGTGGAGTGAAAATACTCTCTCTGTTAATCATGTGTAGATACAGAGAGCGGCTTTGAACTGTTAGAGAAGGCAACATCTAACAAATACCTCTCTGATTAGAGAGAAATGGGTTGAGGTTTGTCATGGTCCCTATGGATTTTGCATCACTGTAGAAATATTAACTTTCAGGAACGGTTTTTATCCTTCATATCTTGAACTGAGCCTTTATGTAGGATACAATGATAGTAGGGGCCAGGCTCACCAACAACGGGTACAGCAAGCCGGCTTCACCCCATCACTCCCATAAACCATTTCCAGTTTCCAAAGCAGAGCTGATGCCAGTGCAATCACAAGGCAGCGTTACCAGGGGAGGTCATGCTGGGGAGTGGAAAGGGTCTGGTTCAAACACGGCCTTAGTGTCCCTGAAGGCACTCCTGAAGCAAGACTTCAGTCCATCTGTTGCGCTGGGTCGTGCTGCAGAGAAATCCTTCCTAAGGCCTGGGGCCTGTAAGGGCAGCAGCTGGAGAAGATCTGGCCCACAGGGAGCTGGGGCAGGTCTGTCACCTCCTTGCTCCTGTTAGCCCTTGTGCTGGGGCTCTGAGAGGGACAGCTGGGCTCCAGTTGACACTGATGGCAGGGCTTTGGTGGCTGCTGCACTGTGCAAGGGATGTTCACGCATGGAAAAGGCTGGCTGGGAGAGGTTATGCCCCCTCCCTGGTTAATTCTGCCTGTTACTAGCAGGGAAATGGGGTGTGATTCAGGCAGATGTTTTTATAATCCATGAATTTTACAGCCTATGGGCTTTATTCAAGCAAAAATTCTGCCAATATTTAGTACTTGAACTAATATCCAGAAGCGCCAAATTTAGTGGTTCTAGTGCATACGTTTCTGTCACGCATCTCCAGAAGAACTGATTTTATTGTAATTGTAACTTAAGTGGTAGAAGTCTGTGATAATGTAGAAATAAGCAGCTAGTCTTAGTAGACCATGAGGTGCACTTAAATCAAGTTTCCCCATCACAAATACTTCAT